CATAGCCATTTCCACTAATGATTCACAAATTAGTTAATTAGGATCACGCAGACATGAAATTAGGCAGCAGAATGTGAAACCTGTCTTGAAAGCCACAAGCACAGCTATTCATCTTTCCCCATTTATCTTGAGTTGGGAACGTCTTGGATGCCATGCAGTGAACAGATGCCAAGAGGTATCTGCTGAACTTCTTACTGAAGAGCCAAAACAGAGGCGAGGCGACATCCCCAGCGGCTATGAACATCCAGGGAAGACTGATTTTAGAGAGTGACAAATGGCCTATCAAGTTGGGCATCAACTGTGATTCCTGCTCAAGTGGCTCATGTGCCTGCTGTCTCTGTGAGCCTCGCTGCTGGGGATGAGCAGCAGCTTCTGCTGCCAGTGTGCATTGAGCTGGGAGTTTCTTTGGGTCTGGGATTGCTTTTCCATCCATCCAGACATGACCTTCTCCCTAAAGAACATGCCCCACGGTTGTCTTTCCATCAGCACAGAGGCTGTGCTTTGATCTACTGCTGTTTCAGCCAACAATTGTGGCTCCCCAGTTACTGGCCTGCTTCTCTGGCAGCAGGCAGACTGCTCAGGCCCTGGCCTGGTGGTATGTCTGTTTCCACAGGCACCGGCTATATTGCTTGCCACCAAATATAGCTTTTTAATTAAATCTCTATCATTCTATGTATCAATAAGACTTGGAAATAAAAGGCTGGGGTGAAAACCTGCTAGCTCAGAGAAGTTGAGTAGTAACTAGCTGACCCTTTCTCTTATTTGGTATCACTGAAAGAGAGCATCCTTCTGGTCTGCCAAAATAACAGCAAAACACAAACCACAAAAGTCCTTCCCTACTACTTCCTATGTGTCTGCCTATCATCTTACAGACACCCCTTGACTCGTTATGATAGCTTCTGTCAACTGGTTGCTAACTTGGCTTCCTGACCCAAGGTTCACTTTATTTAATGAACACAAATGCAAACTCGGGGTTTACAGTGTAATGGAATATCCTACAATGCCCTACTTCTGCCACTTTATTAGAGTGCTATTAGAACACAGGCTGTTCACAATGAACTGGGGATAGATTGTGGTAGGATCTGATGCACAATAAGTCTGAAAATTCATGACAAAACATGCCTAGAAGTTCCTGTGGACCACGTGGTCTAGTCCCTAACTCTTCTTTTATGACACCAATTAATGGAGGGGCAGCTTACAGTTCTGGAACATCAAGAAATCATCCTGAATACAGGGATGGAAGGATAGCCCAAGGATTAAGAGTGCTTGTTGGCTGTGCAATCATGAGGACTGCAGTTTGGATCTCAGCATCCACATAGAAAGCTGGGGTCACACACACACAGACACAGACACAGACACACACACACAGACACACACACACACACACACACACACACACACACACACACACACACACACACACGAATGAATTAATGAATAAATAAACTATTTAAAAGAAATACTGTATTTTTGGAAAGTTAGTTCTTGTGTTCATATTGACAATGAAAGGCAGCCTCTATCCTTCATCTATGGATTCAACCAACCATGCATCACAAGTATTTGAAAAACATTGGATTTGCATTGGCCATGTATAATAAGCATTTAGAAAGTGTTTACCTTGCATTATGATTAGATGATTTGATGTAAACACAAGGAAGCATATAGGTTAATTGCAAACACTGTGACTTTCAGTTTTGTCAGGGGGTCCTAGACACCAGGGAATGACTACATTCAGGAAATCGGTGGAAAATCCCTAATTACATCGTATCAGCTTAAATGATGAAAGCTGAGAAAGTCAAGCCATATATTAATTCAGCAAATATTGCTGAATGCCTGCTATGTACAAGGTATGTGTGTGGAAATTGAAGACATATTTTATGATAAAATTACATAAAATTGCTTCCCTTCAGGAAGCTTATGCTCTGAATGTGGGGGGTGATAAAAAGATAAATTTATCTGTCAAGTCTTGTGATCATAAGAAATCTGGAGAAAATAAAGCAGAATGTAGAGGCTGGGAGATACTGGAAGGTGGGTCGTGGTTGGAGAAGACCAACCTGAGGAGGTGATGCTGGAGCAGAGCTTTGGAGAGGCAATGCCAATGGATGAGAGGGAAGTGTGGTCCAGGCAGGAACTCCAGGCACGAAGACATGGAGGAGAAGCATACTTGATGTGGTCAAAGCCTGATGCCAGGCAGTGGGAGAGGATGGATGAGACAGTGACCCCCAGATCCCATAGAACAAAGGTGATGAAACAAGACTTGCCCTTTTAGACATTAGAATCTTTGAATAAACAAAAAGGTCAGGGCCGGATCTCACCTGCTATTAACTTGTGAGGCTTATTCATTTCATCTCCGTCCCTGCTGTGCCCATATAATTAAACTGTGGAGAGGAACGAAATGGGTTTACTAAATACAGCACTCTCGGACATTTGATTATCACCTATCTACCAAGCACTCTCTGTGGTATTTTCTTAATAGTTTTCTTTTAGTGGATTAACTTTTGAAACTTTTGAAACAACAACCTGGCAGCTGGCAATAGGTGGGGGTGGGGGTAGGGGTGGGGTGAACCCTATGCTCTAGAGGAGGACCTCAGTTTGATTCCCACTAACTACCAACATCAAACAGCTCACAGATTCCCCAGATCCCAAGGAATCCAATACCTTCTTCTGTCCAACAAGGGCACTTGCACACATGTGTGCAATACAGACACATAAACAAAAGTAAAATACATTGTCCGGCTTCTTGTTGTTCATGCTGAGCATGGGAGTGAGTGAGAGTCCTAACTTGATGTCGTTACTATGTTTTGAGGTTATTTAGAAATAAATACAGAGCCCTGGGGATATCTCAGTTGGTAAACAGCCTGCTGTGCAAACAAGAGGACTAGAATTCTGATCTCCGGGAAAGATGTGGGTGCAGTCCTGCTTGCCTATGATCTCAGAAATAGGCACTCAGAGGCAGGCAGGTATTGGGGTTTTTCTGGCCAGTCAGAAAGAACTTGTATCAAAATGTAGGTGGGGAAATGATTGAGGAACACACTTGATGTTGAAAACTAGCCTCTACATGCCCTCTCACTCCTGCACAGATGAAGCCTCACATAGGAACACACAAGTAGACAGAGACAGGGACAAAGAGACAGAGAGACTAAATAAATACATATGTATGTACTACTGTGTATCTGATTCCTCTACTAAGACATTCCATCCAGGAGGCAGGAGAAAGGGAGGGAAGCAAGATGGAGCAGTAACAAGAAGTGACAAGCACTCCCTGCTGCCTGCTCCAAAGTTAGATAAGCAGTAAATAATTGGTAGGTTGGAGGAGGCTTTTTAATGAATCTGCCTACAAGTTGGGCCAACAATTCCAGGGACCTAACTTTGATGAGTGGTTGACTTGGTGGGGTGGGCTTGGTGACTCATTTGCCTTTCAGTTGTCTGGGTTCCTGTCAGTGTCCCTAGAATCCTCATTGTTGCCTCAGTCTTGACATGGGGAGAATGTTTCTTTCATAACTAGTTTGTTCACATCTGCCCAGCAAGAGTTGTAGCAAATGACCAAAAATGAACAGAGTTCCTCTTTTAAGGGTTTGTGTTTTTTCCTTCTGTCCAAGTTTGAACATCTTGAGCTGTACTTCTATGTTCTTCAGGCTCATAACCAGCTTCAGTAATAGATGGCAAATTTTAGTAATCTCAAGAACCAAAAGCTGTTCCTTGGATTTTATAAAACACTGTGACACCAACAATGAGAGCTTGACTCTAGGCAGGAAAACAGTGTAAGAAAAAAATCAAAGTAGACGGTGTGTTCAAATACAGTTGAGCACAGATTCAGAGTATGACTGCCTTAACAGTGGTCGATAGCTTCCTACAGTGATCCAAACCAAGATTTGATTTCAAAAATGGTACAATGCTTTTATGGCAAGGAAATCTTTATGTACGTTGGGATGGGATGGTATATGATGTATCTACCTGGGAAAGGATGCACTTGCCAATATATGAGCATATAGAGGCCCCAGGAAGGCACTAGATGTCTTCCTCTATGACTTCATATATGTTTTGAGACGTGATCTCTCACTTAACCTAGAACATGCTGTTTGCCCTAGTATCCACCTGTGTCTACCCTGCCATCACTGAAGTTACAGGCACATACCCCAAGGCCCAGCTACTACGTGGGCACCAGGGATTCAGACTCAGGTTCTCAAGCTTATACAGCAAGTACTTTACGCACTGGTTGCATCTTTGTAGTTGGAAAGTCATCATTGTCACTTTTGTGGTCCTCTGTGTCACTTTTGTGGTCCTCTGTCTCCTCCTCCTGTGGCACGGGGGATTCAGCTTAGAGCTTTGCACATGGTAGGCAAGCCAGGATAGAGCTTTCACAAAGCTGGTCTGTGGACAACCTGTGTCCATGACCCTCTTAATTTTGAGACACAATCTTACAAAATTGTGCTGAACTTGAACTCACTCTGTGGTGTATTTCACTTTTTCAAAGGTGATACTTTTTGTGTGTTTGAAGGGCAAAAAAGCACCTCATTCCTTTTTTGAGCACCCCAAATCACATATCACATTCTCCTATTTGTTGGAGAACATTTAAACCCCACCCAGTTAAGATTGCTCTTGGGAGCCTGTTAGCTACCGCAGGTCAGTGTCTACGCTGGCCCCATGACTCCGCATATTTACATCAGAGAAATATATTTGGAATAGCTAAGTGCCGGTCTGGGGAAGGGTTGCTTAGATAGATCTTATGTGCTGTGCATTGTGCCAGGCACTCTTAAAGCATGGATGCTCACAGGAACTCTATGTGACGTTCTTTCTCACTTCTAGGAAAACAGCCTGCAGGAACAGAGTCTAGAGTCCCACACAGAGGTATCCAGAGCTCTTGCTTCAGGCATTGCTGACACCAAGTAGCTCCCTAGTGGGCCAGAGACAGTTAAATGGACCCAGAGTGCCTTATGCCCTCTTAAAGAAACTGTCACATTTGTTCACCACTTCCCATATCTATTTTTGTTTTCAAACAGACTAAAGAACCCATAAAGAAAAAAGAAGACGAAGACGTGAAACAAACAGAGGATGAGAAAACCAAGCAGATATACAAGAGCTGGAAGGAGGATTCCGAATGGCAGGCATCGTGTGAGTACCCCGGGGCCTCAGAGGCACCTCCAGGCTCGAGACTGGACCTTCCACTTGAGTGATTCATCAGGAGGCACAGAGAGTGCATCCTTGAGAAGTACCTTCCCATTGAGTTGTCACTCAAATGGTATCAGGAAGTGGTATCTCCTCAGGTGCCTGAGTAGCAGAATGGCTTTGCATTCATCTTTATACTGTTAAATTATGTTTCTGTATGGTGGAATTGTATATAGCTATGAAAAAATCCCACAGAAGAATATTCAATGACATTAAAATATGTCCCTTTCTTGGAGAAGAAAACATTATAAATAGTATAAAATATAATTATTTAAAAATTCTAAATTATTATTACTATTATGTTCTTCTTCTGTTTATTCACTCTGCCTGCCAGCCCTGCCTATCCCTTCTCTTGCCTGCCTTGTTATTGGCTGTTCAACTCTTTATTAGACCCATCAGGTGTTTGAGGCAGACAAAGTAACACAGCTTCACAGAGTTAAATAAATACAATATGAAAGAATGCAGCATATCTTAGCATCTTTAAACAAATATTCCATAACATAAACGAATGTTAACATATTTTAAAATAATATTCTACTTTGTAATACAAAGCATGCAGAATTGACAGATGGGATATATTTGCATCACTCTCACGATTCTATGCCTCTGACCCAACATTGACTCTCTTTTGAGCTTGTACTGCCAGGGCCAAACCAGGAAGACAGGACAGGCAGAGGATGGGCAACCCAGGCTGAAGAATGGCTGAGAGTCTTCACTTGGCACCAACAGAGAAGACTTGATTGTCACTTGAGACAGGGAGACAGGAAGAACCTAAACAGCAAGATTTTCAGGATGCTAAGGTCCTGAATTGGTCTGCAGTTCCATTACAATCCATTATGCTAAAAGTTTTGTGAAACAAAAATTATTTGCAAGATCCAATCTGTGACCTTCTTGTGCTAAGCACTGAAACTCTCGTATGATAAATAGTTTTTAGTGTCTTCAGTGTCAAATATGACAATATCTAAACCACAATGCCTGAATTATTTTTTAAAAAAAAACCTCAATGAAAATGGTTATTGAAAAAAAAAACAAAACAAGACCCCCCCCCCCCCCGTGAAACTTCGAAGTCAGGGATAGTAATGCATGCCTTTAACCCCAGCACTTAGAAGGCAGAGGTAAGCAGATCTCTGTGGGTTCAAGGCCAGTACTGGGATAACCAAGGCCACACAGAGAAACCATGTCTCCAACCTCCCTGCTCCCAAAGTAAATAGTTACTACATCCTGCATTAATCTTTAACGCTACACTGCTAAAAGATGACAACCCCATCTATTTTAGAAAGTAATTAATGTTAAAGGGCATATTGTGAAGTGTTTGTACATTTACTAAGGTGTTCTGAAATTCTCCACAGCATGTTTATGGCTTAAAAAAAAAATCCTTTACTTCTGGTCTCTTTGGCCAACTCATATTCAGTTAAGCCTATGGTGGTCCCTGGATGTGTCAAGCCTTGCTGTTCTTTGCCTAGCTCACCTGCTACAGAGAAGTCCTTCGTCCCTAGTTTTTGCTCATGACTTGGGGTACACTGCACCCTGACCATGTGTATATCAGGAATGTGGTGACTTGGGAAACCAGGCCTCACTTAGTCCTGCTAAGTGCAGAAAGAACCTTGTTATACTTTCTCCACTTCCCTCCTTCTCCCTTGTCTTTCTTTCCTCTCCTTCTCAGAAAGTCCGCAGCTCCTAAATGCAGCTTCAAATGCTGCAATGACCATAGACCCCTTAAAATGTGATAGTAGTACAGGGATGGCTAATAGGAGCACAAGGCCAACTCAGCCAGGAGCCTTCCCAGGGCACCACTGTGCAGGGTTGAGTCTCCCATGTCTGTGGGCTCTGAATGTGACCTATGGCAAGCAGGATGGACTTCCTCAGACGCTGTTGTCTTACTAGTGCGAAAATCCAAGGCAGCTGATGAGAAACGACGCTCCTTAGCTAAACAAGCACGGGAAGACTACAAGAGGCTGTCCCAAAGGGGAAGGAGCGGAGACGGGCTGCAGAACCCTCTGGCTGGTCCACAGAAGCCCAGAAGGCCTCCTCTTCCCCCGAAGCCCCTGTTCCTGCACCCACTAGGAAACCCTCCGAAGTCCTTAGGGTGAGCAACCACATGGGTGGCTTCATGGCACTGGGATGGGCTGATTAAAGTTGTGTGTTTTGGGTGGTGGCGGTGGCAGGCGGCGGGGGGGGGCAGCTGCTTAGGTTGGCCTCTACCCCTGCTTTCTCTTCTGTGAGATATCCACAGTGACTATAATTAGAACCCAGCCACAGGTGGAAGATGTCTAATTAGATGATTTCCTGTTCCCCTCCTCCACCCAGTGCCCCAAGCTAACAGGAAAAGGGAACATAGATGGTGGGAGGATGTAAGATGCTCAACATTGCCTCTAGTGTCAAATAAGTAGCAAAGTAGGATCCTGAAGGCAGGAGGACTCCATCCACATCTCTGGGACTGCTTTTTACTGCTGAAGAGTCAGGTTTTGGTGGCAGTTCTCTTTCTAAGATGAAGAGCCAATTAGTATTTTCAGAATTTCAAAATGCACCATCTTGGAACCACATCTCTATTTGGTGATGAAGGTACCTTTACCTTCTAGGCACAACACATTCTGGCAGGCAAGAAAAGAATATAGTGATACCTAGAATAAAACGCCATCATTCATGTTTACTATTAAATTCATTTTTAAGGACTACTGGTTTATAGAATTGTTAATATTCTAATATTTATTTGTTTGCTTGTAGTCACGACCAAACCCAGAGGCTCTTCCATATTAGGCAAGCACTATACCACTGAGCTATATCCTCAGCCTTAATGTTCCAATATTTGGAAAGAAATGTTTAAGATAAACTACTGATTGTATGACCAGTCTGCATCTAGAATTGCCTTCTGAAATAAAAACTAAAAATACTTCTCCATTAAAAGAGTTTGGCAAATGCAACAAACAATCTCTGTTTTTTAAAAATGTTTTTTTAATTATTTTTTCTAAATGGGGATTATGAGCTAAGAGGAACACAGGGTGAATTATTTCTCCTACTATAATTATTTCTCCTTATTCCACTGAAAGTTCCATATTGAGATGTGGTGACCAACACTAAATGGCCCTGTACACAGTTTGGGAAATGAGGTTTTATTTTTTATTTTTTCCTTATAGCTAAAAATAAATGTCAGGAAATAAGTATCTCCTTAGCTTTGTAACAGGTCACAAATAAACTCCCGCACAGGGCTCTGCCTAGTGTAACTGGCCACAGCATTTCATGAACAGCTTTTTCTTATTTTCTAGCACCTTCGTGGGATAGCATGGGACATGGCTCACACAACATCCCTTTCCTGTAGTTTTTAATGTATTTGATGAATGGCAATGAAGGTGGACTTTTAAAGGGTAGGAGACAGTTCTTGTTGGTTGTGTCCAAATCATTTTTTTCCAACTTATGATACTCTATGAAGAACTTGTGTCAGAGTGCATAGGGTGAGTCTTGGGACTCTGGGCAGCTATGACACAGGTCAGCCAGGAGCCAGCCCAGAGAAAGACAGACACTAGCCTGTCCCATGTATGTGAAATTTTACCCCATCTCTGAGAATTAAAGGAAGCTAATGTATAATCTCATATGTATGCCAGGTCTGCTTCCCGGGAAAGTCAAATATTATAAGACATTTTCTCTCAAATCCTCTGAAGGTCATAAGTGATAATACACACCCATATTTGCATATATGTATGAATGTTTGCAGAGCTGACATGCCACATGGAACTCATGGCATGATACATTGCCTGCAGAATCACAAAGTGAGGGAGGCTAGCAGAGACCGAGAAAGAAGAGGGAAAGCAGGTAATGAACAAGTCAGGGAGGCAGCTACCTCATTACACGAGCTTGCCTTTGTTTGCCCGTCCTTTCTCTCCAGGAAAACAGCTTTGACTTCTGAATGCTTCTTTTCTCAAACGTTAGTTGGAAGTTAGTGGATCTTCTGACCCATAGTAAAGTGAATTTGAATCTAACACAGTAGTGGTTATTGCTATGACTGGTCCTTTAGGAACAGACACATGAATGTGTTTTCCTCTCTCTGATCCTGGAGCCCCGTACAATGGTGGCATGTACGGAGCCCAACCTGTCATTAACTCTGCCTTGTGATTACATGTTGGAAATGGAAATGCATATAATTCTCTTCTCCCACCTCATCATCCCTTCTCTTCTCACCCTCGCTCTCCCATTCCTGCCCCCTCTTCTTTCTCCCCTCTCCCTCTCTGTATAAAGTAAGGGGACAATTCTCAAGACCCCGTAAAGAGACCAGATGTAAAGCATGCCCAAACCCCTCATATAAAAAGGTGCAATGTTTGCATGTAATGCATGCATAATCTCCCTGTATTTTAAATAATCCATAAATCATTTATAATGACTAATATAAGTGCTATATAAATAAGTAAACATTCATACAGTGTTGTTTGGGAAATAATGATAAGCAAAAATGTCTATATATGTTTAATGTAATAGAAACATTTTTCTTGGAATATTTCCAGCTCTCCATTGTTTGAATTGATGCAGGCCAATTAATTTGTGTGTGCATAGATATGTACACACACACACACACAATCACACTCTCACACACACATATATATACACACATATATATATATATATACACTCAAATATTTGTGTGAGGCTATGCACATATATGCATACATATGATGGATTATTGTTTCTTTTCCCTTAAATTACAGTTAAAACTTTAATTCTTCTTTAGCACAGATAAAAATATCACATCTATAATCAGATTATCATAAATTACCATAAGCTTTTTATTGAAAATGTATACAATATATTCTGGTCACAGTTTCCCCACACTCATTTCCTTCCCGGTCTCTCCATATCTCCACCCATCTGACTCTACACCTTCTGTCTCTTTAGAAAACAAGCAGGCAAACAGAAAAGCTAACAGACCAGAATCAAAAATGACTTCAACAATGAAAAAGTATGACAAACTTTAAAAACACAAAATTGGAAATCATAATATATAATCAAAAGACCAATGATATAAAAAAAAATGCCCAAACAAAGCATTATAAGACAAGAAAAAATTCCTAAAACACCGTCGGGTTCATTTTGCGTAGGCATTTACTGCTGGGAACAGGGCCTGCCTGCTTTACGTGTGGTTTGTAAACCTGTGAGAAAACTGATTTTTCCGCTTTGTAAGTGGTTATCAGTTGGTCTGGGGTAGGAATGGGGAACTCATGTCCACTTCCCACACTGAACACTGGGTCCCAACTGACTCAGGCCTGTGCAGGCCCTGTGCATGCTGCCACAGACTCTGTGAGTTCATGTGTGTGCCATTCCTGTTATGTCTTCGTGTCATCCACACCCCCTAGCTACTAACTCTTCCTGTGTCCTTTTCCACATACCTTCCTGACACAAGGGGAAGGATGTGATGAAGACATTTATGGTTGAACAATGTCTGGCTGTGGCTCTCCGAATATGTTCCCATCTGCTATAGGAGGAAGATTCTTCGATGGAGAATCTAAGAGTACACCAGAATGGAGGACACTATTTCAAATTAATTATTTCTAACTGGAGACTCATCTTACCCATGGCAGGAATCAGGGAGTCATAAGGACAGAGTCCAGCTCCACCCAGGAGGACATCATCCGATGGTTCAAAGAGGAACAGCTGCCATTCCGTGCCGGTTACCAGAAAAACTCTGACACCATCGCTCCCTGGTTCCATGGTGAGTACTGAGACAATCTCTGTTGGCAGATCGGACAGTGCTTGCTCCGAGAAAGACAAACAGTAACAGCTTTCTCCCCTCCTTTATTTGTGTTGAATTCACAGTCTTTCTCATTATGTTCACAAAGCATTTTCTCAGTTCTTTTCAGAGAGCCTCCTTCTTGAGTCTACTTGGAAAGCAGTCGGCATTCATGGCCACTGTGCATTGAGGGTCAATTCCTCACCACAAATTACCAGGGTACACGGGGAAAGCAGGGCTTCCTGTGGACTCAGAGGAGAGAGTGTAACTTCAGCAAATGCCACTGTCTCCCTTGCCTGGAAAGTCAGTGGGGGCTGTTTGATGTGCTGAGGCAGGGTAGCAGGCAGGCCAGCTATAAGCCTCTCTTTCTTAACTCAATGAGTTACCGTGAAGAAACAGTGGTCTCTTTCTATAGCTGTCCAACCCACTTGAGCCCCAATTTCCTTGCCTTTTAAGTGAGAATCTGGAGCCTTTTGATTTTAAAGGATCCTGGGACTTTGATCCATTCTTTCTGATGCTTTGCAAGGTGTTGTGTTTTGAGTCCCAGGACAGTATTGGCTGATCATTTCAGCATTTGGCTTAAGAGACTTCATTAACTGAGGCTCCTCTGTTGACCCAGGTCATACTCAGTGACTCTTTCACTTCAAGAAAAGTCAGCAGCTTCTTTAAGACCTGTGCTTAGGTGCCTGGGGGATGATAGCTCTACTGAGTTATTTGCCGATAATGTACAAAGTGCACAGTTCTAACCCAACACAGAAAAGAAAAGAAGAAAGGAAGGAATTACTTGTGGCTGAATTGGACATCCTACCTAAGTATACATCCAAGGCATTCTCTCCCACTTAGTGCATTGCGTGTCTTGGTTTGAACTATGTTTAAGGCATCTCACTTCTCAGTAGTACCATTGCACATATAAATAGACCACAGAAAATGAGTTCCCAAACACACAGCATGAGCAACCACTTCTAAAGCCCCCAGCTTCTCTGTGACAGCTTTTCGGTGACAGCCACTTTTGTAGCCTGTGTCCCAGCAGACATACCAGCTGTCCTTGAATGTGTCTGAGGGTCAGACTTTGATTTGATCATTCTTGGAGGACTCCAGCCCCCCTCCAGGAGCAGGGTTGTAAGTGTCCCTCCTCTCTGTGCTGCAGAGAACTCAGCTGATTCTTCATGCCTTTGCCAGGGCCACCTCAGCTGTCTGCTGCCCTCAGTTTTCCTTTCTAAGGAAATCAACCTTTGTAGTTTCTGTGTCCTTGGACAGTTGCTGTATGCTATCATCCCTGATTATGACAGCAGTCATATTTTTATTTCTATGTTGTTGTTTTTTTAACAGCAGGGTATGAAAGTGTTAGCCAATGTCATTAAGAATTCTGATATATGAACTGGAGGTTCTGACTGAAGGAGTTCTGGAAAGCTAGAAGACACAGCAGGACTAACAATCCGCTTTGCCTAGAAAACATGACTCTGGGGTGCTACATATAATACTTTATAAGGATGACATTGTTAAATTGTTCCTATACAAGTATTTGTCATAGTTATAAGCAAAATAAATAACACAATAAATAAATAATGTGATAATAAATATACAGTCAAGTATGTCCTCATCTTCCATTTTAGAAAAACATGCACATTTCCATGATGGAGAGAGGGTGGATCATACTTTGTCTCTCTGAAATACTGCTCGTGTGCTTACTAGTTAGTACTACAGAAATGGCCTGACATCACTCTTGAACACATCCCATCATACCCACATAGTGTAATTTCTTCAGAGGCTTTACCCAGATATGGAATTTCTAGAAAGGAGAGACATATGTATCTTTAAATATGCATGTTTAACATTCCTAATCCAAATAGCCACAATCAGAAACACTCCAGAACCGGCGCTAACATGTTGCTCAAATATTTTAGATTTTAGAATGTTTCATGTCCTATATTTTTCTGGGCCTAAATGCTCAATTTGTAGGTCTGCTGAAATTCATTTGAAAGCCCCCCAACCTGAAACACTGTGGATAAGCATACTGAGTACTGATGAATGCCCTGGTGTGATTACTCCAGGGTATGCTCCTGCCTCCGTGCCCAACTTTCTGCTCTTCTCTGTACTTAGCAGTGCTTGATGTCGCCTAATCTCATTTCCTTCTGTCTTGTGGTCCACAGTAGAATTGTAATGACTGTGTTTTCCCTTATGTGCAGTGAGCTCAGCCCCTCGTGTATTTATTTGTTGGGTGAGTGTCTTCTGTAAGCAGTTCTTCAGATGCTTTGATCATTTTCCCAGGATATTTATTGAATTTTTGCTTTGCTTTGTAGAATTTTATATATTCTAAATACTAATCATTTATCAATTGTAAGGGCTAGCTACATTTTCTTTTGGTCTATGATTTATCTTTTAACACCCTGGCACATTTTGATGTCCAATTTTTCATTTTAGTGTTCTTTGGTTTAGTTTTTCTCCTTTACGATGTTTTGATGTATCGTGTACAACCAACCTGCAATTTATTTTTCATAGATACAAGGCACACAGATATCTTTCCATTTATTATTGTGTTAAACTTCACACTACATAAAATTTACCACCTTAACCATTTTGATTTTGTAAGAAAACATTTTTCTTTACTAAGCATAGGAAATAATGGTTTTTCTTATGACATTTCACACATTCATATATTTGATGTTACTGATATTCATCTTCCTCATTGGCCTCCCTTGTTCTGCCTTTCACCTGACTGTCCATTGTAACAATGTCATCTATTTGTGTGTGCATGTGTGTGCTGGCCTACATGCCTGTGCATGGGAGTGTAGAGGTCAGTGTCAGACTTCTTCCTCCGTCACTCTCCAGTTTGGCTTTTGAGACACCATGCTCGCTGATGCTGGAACTTGCTGGCCAGCGAGTCCTTGGCACCTGCCTGTCTCCACCTCTCCAGCATTGTGCCTCCGATTCAACACCCAGCTTCCTTCAGCTTGGGTGCTAAGATAGGAACTCGGGGGTTTTGGTTGTGTATCAGGAAATTTACCCACTGAGCCATCTCCTCAGCCCTCTCACTGCTGTTAAAATGTGTTAGTGTTTGTTTTCTGTGTTTATAGGTGATCTGTGTGCCAAGGATCAGTGAGAGGTATACACGTGAGGTCTTTTCATGTCTTTCCTGGGCCTGCCCTATATCTGGGTATGTGTGGCGGCTTACTAATTTTATATCATAAAACATAGTTTTTTTTTAAACGTCCTAGTCTTTTATTTCTACCTTACAAGAGTGAAAATAAAGAGAAATGAAAGAGGCAAGGAGCTTTGAAATTTAATTTCCAGAACGTCAAGGTGTGAGCTGCGCTTACTCCCTTGTGAATGGGGAGGTGGTAGATATGGGCATGTATTTCTGTACAGAGCAAATGAGCTCTTGGGAGAAGAGTTTAGAACAGCCCCCACCCGACCCCGAGAATAGGGCTTCAGTTTCAGCTTTTTAGAAGGACACCACTCCCCTGCCTGTGCTTTCTGTCTTCCCTTTAGCACAGTCTCACAGTGCTGAGAAAAAGTTACACAAGGAACACGTGGTTCTTCGGTAAAATGCATTTTTTAAATTTTATTTTTTTTTTATCTTTTTTCAAGACAGGGTTTCTCTGTGTAGCTTTGGAGCCTATCCTGGCACTCTCTCTGAAGACCAGGCTGGCCTCGAACTCACAGAGATGAGCCTGCCTCTGCCTCCCGAGTGCTGGGAATAAAGGCATGCTCCACCAACGCCCAGCGGTAAAATACATCTTAATCACTGCAAAAGCTGTCTTGTTTGGAAGTACTCACTTAGGGCCTGTCCTTAAAAAGCCAGGTCATCTCAGAAGGTAATAATGACATAGGAGGTCATGGGGCGGAATCCACCACAAAGGATGAGAGGATCTGGCTGCTTGGGAAGTTGGCAGGTCAAGGCTGAGCCTCAGGGAGAGGAAGCAGCCACTGGGAGGGCTGGAGCTGCTGTTGTAAATGCTTCTGTCTCCAAGACTCACCATCTTCCGAATACTGACATTAAGTCTTTTTTTGTTTCTTTTTCCAGTCTCCTTAACAAAAGGGATTATTTCTTCTTTCCTGTGTCGTTTTTCCCCCTGTTGACCTAGACTGTAATTCTCAGCTCAGGCGTGTCTTGTTTCTTGAATACAATCCCAGTCTTTAATCCATTTTGTTCTTGCAGCTGGTACCAGGGTCCTGCAATCTTTTAGCCACACTGTTTAATCTCTGGTGTTTATAAAGTATATGATAAACTCCAGAGAGTCCTCATGCCCAAATGACCATCAAAGTCACTGAGCATAAGCTAAGCCCAGTTTCTGAATCTCCAGCGTGTATCGATGCATTATACCCACTAACCTGCTCTGAGGACTCATGAAGAGAATCAATGAATAAACACAACTCAAGCTTGAAGTTCCTCCCACAAGTTCATTTCTTCATTCTACCAACACTTCCTCACCCCTCCTAAATAGGCAAAACTATAGCAGTGTAGGAGTCTTAGAAACTGCCAGGGACTGGTGTGTAAAAAGACAGAAATGAAGACAGGAATACATTGCTAGTTTAGGGTTTCCTCAGCAGTCTTTGTTGCTAGATAATTTCACTTACTTGCTTTGCATGTCTGGTTGATAGTCTTGAAATCATTAATAGTTGCTAAATAGGATACAACTGAACTCAGGGAAGCAGCTCCATCCCTGTCCACTCCTTGTGGGTGCCTTTTGTGAACACGACACGTAGCTGAGTCTGTCTTCTAGATGCTGGAGTCCCAAGAGTTTATATTTTAAGCCACCCTGAAAGCAAATTCTATAACATGTTTACTTTGTTTCTATTTTGATACATCTCTCTGCCTCATTCTCTTTGGTAAATTTTCTTCGTTTTTTTTTCGTGGGGGGTAGTTATCCCTGGAACTCAAGTTGCCTGCAGACAGCCATCAGGGTAATGTCCTTTCTTCAGCTTTTGCCATACCCCAAGCTTCAGACACCATCACAGCTGGTGTAGGTAACTGACCTCAT